CCTCAATTACCCATTTAACAGTTGTCATAGTGATACCATCACTATCACTAGATGTTTTGTTACCACATTTATTCACTATCTCTATAATTTCCTTTTCAACTATGGGCTTCAAAAACATAGAACTCATGTTCCTTTCGATTGTATTATTATTTATAGTGACGGATGTATCATCTGTACAAATGCTTCTTGCTAAAACAGGACCAACATTCACAAAGAACCTATTAAACTTATCTACTACATCCTCCAATCTCTTGACCGGTGTATCATTATCCATAAAATATTGAGGGTAGTTACTCTTGCTAGAACAGTTTCTAATCAATTTATTTAATATATTCCAAATACCAGTCATATTATTTTTATTATCCTCTAATACTTTAGAGTAATATAGTTTCTTACATCTCCTCAAAATCTCAATTAATTTGTTCTTATATGGTAAATGTTTGATGATCATGTTTTGTTTGGAGTACAGGTGATGAGGTCAATGGGAAAAAGCACCTTTGCCTTCGCTAATTGCACTTTGCCCACATCTCATCAAACAGACCAAGGCAATGACCTTACTCAAATATCTAGCACCCCTTGAAAAAGCAGAGCAAACATTCTTGTACTTTCAGTCGCTCAATGTTTCTCGTGTCCTGCTGCAGTTTTGTAATAGTTTAATCTGGAAAAGGATCACGCTGCTGTTCCCTGTGCAACTGTGGCAGGTGTTACTTTTCCCAGAGGAAGTTCTCCTCGTCTGAGTTTCCTGGGCTGAGTCAGTTCAAGTAAACTGTTAAAGTTAATGAGAACTTCTTTTCATTTAACAGAGTGAATAATCAGCCACAGACGTCTTGAATTTCATGCTGCAGTTATTTTTGGTTTGTCTCTCCTAGCGTTAGAGATACAGAAAATTGTCTTTTCTTTTCACAAAGCTGAGTGTTCTTCTCCTCCACGCACATGCAAAAAAATACGCTGTATACTACACACATTTTATCTCTGCACCACACCTGGAATTTAGAGCATGATGCCCCCGTAACTCAGATAATGACATTAACAAAAGCATAACAACGCAGACATCACCACATGTTCTGTAGACGCTGCTGAGTGATGACCCACACAGAGTTTCTTTTCAAAAACACAACAGGCTACAGAGATCTCAGCTTTTAAAGCTGAACAAAATACAATGCAGTTCACCTGACATTACCAGTGCTATGGGCAGAAACCATTTTAAGGTTTGGTCCAAAGATCTTTGCCAAAGAAAAAAATAAGCTGGAGACATCAACTTGTAATAAGGATTAACATAATTATGTGACCTGTATCTTGTAATTACAAGAAAAGAAATCACATATCTGAGCTGTTTATCTTGTAATGAGGCAGAGAGGATCTGCATGGTTTTTAATGTAAAAAACTAGCCACTAGCTGGTGCAGGGATGTCAAAGCTGAAACAGATCATTTCTAGAATTGGCACCAGACTCAGGCTTTGACGATACTGTGAACAAGTGAGACTCCTGAGTGAGGAAGGAATAACCCAGTTGGTCATACACTGGAGATCCTTCTTCACCATCCACAAAGTCACTCAGGTATTTTAACAGCTGATGTGACTGATTTCATCTGCACAGCCACACTAACAAGACTCTGTTGGACAGTGAATTGGGCTGGTGCTGAAACAGTAAGATTGGCAGTATGTTCCAAATAAAATGGAATGTGGGCCATTTACAAAGGCATTTTAGCTGCTGTCGACACCTCTGCAAGCAACAACCAGAGTACTTCAAGCAAGCAGAGTTATATTTGTTCTGAGCTCACCAGTCTGAAAACCACAACAAGCAGACTACACAGCAACAGAATGCAACCAGTCACACAAGATTACTGACCAGCTGAAGGTGGGTGTGTTGCAGAACAGTGTGCACATCTGTGTGAAGTGATGTGAGCCCTACAAGACAAAGAGAGGTGCAGTCAGACTGATCTTAAGCAAGTCACACGATAAGCCCTAGGCAGAGAAACATGACAGTCCTGCAGCACAGGATGTCTTTGAGATACACAGTGTCAACATCTGATAATCCCTCTGTTGCTGCACTAATCCTCAAACTCTCTGAGACAGTTCATTCTAGTTCACTCACCTAAAGCAAACCTCTTCCTCTGCTTACTGTTTAGAGTTGCTGATGATTAGCTGGTGCACTTCTGCTTTCAGCATTTCCCTGAATTATTTCCAGCAGAATGAGAAAGGCTGTGAAACTGCTGCTGTTGCTGGAGAGTGAGTGGCTGCACACGCTAATAACAGCACGGAAGTAAGACTGAACCCCTGACTGAACTCATTTAATGAGCTAGTTAAATACACAGGTGGAAATTATGAATTACTCTGGTGATGCAAATCATTTTGTTCAGTTCAGTTATTACATTTGTTGCTAATATTAATGTAATTTTTAAATATACATTTTTTTGTGTAAGCGACTACATCACAGTTCCCCACTTGGTGATATTATTACACACGTGCAGCTACTTTGGTTAGTTGTCTGTTTCCTTTCGGTCAGACTCGCAGAAAAGCTTTTGAAATGATATATGCTTTAGGATGCTATATGTTGCTTTGCTTCAATCTACATTTCACAACCGTTTCTAGAAGCAGTTTCAAAAATCCAGTTCTATGAGCTCTAATCCCTCCTGTAAATATCTTCTATGTCCTCTGACTGTAGTGAAATGCCGGGACAGCCGATTGTGTGATATTTTTGTAACAGACACTGATGTTCCCCATAGGTAGACCAACCTCTGGAAACATGATCTCAGGTGGAAATAGTAAATATTTAGATGTTAACACACTAAGACAGTGAACATGGTAAGCATTATACATGCTAAACATCAACATGCTGGTATTGTCACTGTAATCATGTTAGCCTTCCAATATTAGCATTTAGCTCAAAGCAATCCTTGCCTAATATAGTCTCTTAGAGCTGGTCACATGGTTGTAGACTAGGGGAATATTTACTAAGGTTTTGTGAAATTGCGTGTTCTTATTTACTACAAAGCCGCAACAGGGTTTTGGGTGGGAAAGAGAAAAGTGGCACTGCTGGAAGTTGCATATTTGGTCTCATGCAGTATGTATGTCCCTATTTAGGGATGCAAAATAAGGAATGAGGCAATGGAAATTTATACAAATATCCTCAGCGCCTGACTTACCAGCGCAGACTGATCACTGCGCCTGAAGTAGCTGTGGCTGAAATTTACAGTCAGGAGAAAGTGGTTTTAAAAGTTGTGGCACTCTGGGCAACATGGCAGCTGTTATTTATTTGAGACCCTGTCTGCCTTAAAAACACAACTGAGGAAGAAGAGGGTGTTTGAAAATCACATCTCTTGCCAGAAGAGAATGTGAGGAACATTTCAGCTGCAGAAATATGGAAACCGGAAATATGTTTGTTGGTTTTTTCAGCCAATATTAAAGCTTATTAAAAGTTAGCTTACACATTTTTCTCTGCAGACACCAGGTCCATATAAGTGTACGTGCATTCAAATGAACACTGCTGTGGCTGTGCTCGATTACATCATCAGTGTTGGTTAATAAGCCCTAAAGTGATAAATTGTGGTGCTGCAGTATTTTGAGCTACTGATGGTAATGTTTCAGATGCTGCAGATGTTTCAGGTTTAGTAAATATTATCTGCAGCTTTCAAGGTCCTTCACTCACTAGTAAGGAGAGCTGCAATGCAGGTGATTCACAACTGATCAGCCACAACATTAAAACCACTGGCAGGTGGACTGAATAACGCCGATTATCTCATTACAGTGGCACCTGTCCATTGGTGGGATATATTAGGTATGAGGTGAACAGTCAGTTGTGGAAGATGATGCATTGGAAGCAGGAATAACATGCAAGCTTAAGGATCTGAGCAACTTTGGCAAAGACCAAACTATAAGGACTTGGTGACTGGGTCAGAGCATCTCTAAACAACAGGTCCTGGGTGTCTCCAGTATGCACCGATCACTACCACTGACTGTTCCAATTGCATACCGGTCACTACCACTGACTGTTCCCAGTATGCAGCGGTCACTACCACTGACTGTTCCCAGTATCCACTGTTCACCACCGCTGACTGTTCCCAATATGCACCAGGCACCACCACTGACTGTTCCCAGTATGCACTGTTCACCACTGCTGACTGTTCCCAGTATGTACCGGTCACCACCGCTGACTGTTCCCATTATGCACCGTTCACCACCGCTGACTGTTCCCAATATGCACCGGTCACCACCGCTGACTGTTCCCAGTATGCACCGGTCACCACCACTGAATGTATATCAAAGACAGATGAACCTTTCGTGACATCACCCATTAGTTTTCTGAAGAGCAGTGTTCAAGTCTGATCGTCACCATATTGCAGTAGTGGAAGTAGTACTCAAATTATAAAAGTAAAAGCAGAAACACCACAATGTAAAAATACTCTGTTACAAGTAAAAGTACTACAATCAAAATGTTACTTAAGTACAAAGCATTAGCATCAAAATATACTTAAAGTACCAAAAGTAAAAGTACTTATTATGCAAAATGGCACATTTTACATTTTAGTATTTCATATATTATTGGATTATAATTATTGATGCATTATCATGTTCATGACTTTAATGTTACAGCCGGTAAAGGTTTAAATTACTTTATATGTGTAAAATTTTAATTACTGCTGGGCAGCTTGTGAATTTCTCACCAGGGATCAATAAAGTCTTAAGATTATACAATATTTTGTTTATTGATAACTGGGGAAGAGGTGGCACCAGGATGCACTATGGGAAGAAGACAAGCCAGCACAGCTGGAGCGATGCTTTGGGCAACGTTCTCCTGGGAAACCTTGAGTCCTTCCACCCATGTGGATGTTACTTTGATAAGTAGCACCTACCTAAACACTGCTGCAGACCAAGTCCGCCCCTTCATGGCCACAGTGTCCCCTGATGGCAGTGGCCTCTTTCAGCTGAGCTGCAGAAACTGTTTGGGAATGGTTTGAGTGTAAATATTTGTGTAAAACTGAAATGGCGGCTCCAAAAATAACCAGATTCTATGGAACTGACACACAAACCTGAAGTCATGTTTAAAACATCTTGTGCTGGAAATGCCTCGACATGTCTTCTGTTCACCTTTCCATTGTCCAGCAGCACTAGAAAAATGCAGAATGACATGATAAAGACAGGCCAAGATATGATCATCACTTTTACTGGCCAAGCCTGTTACACACACAAGGAATCTGTCTCTGGTACAGAACCGAGGCAGCCATCTGCGACGCCAACTCACACACCGATGGCGGTGCTGTCCGTAGCCATCAAGAATCCCAGGCTACGTTTGAATCCCAAACCAGTACTTACATGACTGACATTTGTGTATTTGCTCCATGTAATGCCACACATAATGAAGAGAGGCAGCCAGACCGGTCTGCTGGCTCGTTCATGCCTCGCCTGTCACCGGTGGATCAAACCCTGCTGTGTTTCCAGGCAAGACGCCAGGTTACTGCCATAGCTGCTACTCTTCCTTCTTCTTTCTCTGTTTTTATTTTCTCATTGTCTCTCTCTGCATTCGTACTGACAGGAGTGAGAGAACAGTTGTTCTGAACCAGCTTTCTTTCCTGTGGCAGGAGAAAGAAGACATTTACAGGATGGATTAGACTTCATTGAAATGGATCTGCTCTGCTGTTTGCTTTAGCTGACAAGCCCGGCTTACACCTTGAAATCTTCCTTTTCTTGTATTCTCTCTTTCCATCCATCCATCCATTTCCCAAGTTGCTCTGTGTGTCTACAGTTGAGCAGGCAGCTGACAGGCCAGTGACAAGTGTTGAGGAACAGAGGATGAGAAGCGAGGGAGGGAGGAAGAGGCCCTAATGAGAGGGACAGCAGCAGTGGAGATCTGTCACTGCATGTCCAGATAACACCCCACGACTCTCTTTGATATTGCTCCCTAGTGACCAGGTCGTTCCATCCTCAGCTTGTACTAGTGAGGTGGTAGTGAGGTGGGGCTAGAGCTGCTTATTGGCCCCTGTGCTTTTTTTTTTGTTGTTTCCTTTGTGCGCTTGTAAAGGGAACAGGAGCAAGAGGAAGACTTCATATGGATCTAAATGCCAAAAGCAAAAAGAAAATAATGGGAAAGTATGAAATTGTGCATTTTAGAGGATTATCGATATACTCGGGTTCTAAACCCAAAGCATTCTCCTCCACCTGTGCTTATATGAGAATACAGCCTACTGAACTGCGGGAGGTTGCAACAGGGAGAGACTGCTGCAGATAGAATGTGGAAAATGCCAAAACAACACAACTGGCAGCTCACAATGGGAAGCTTGTAGTAAGCAAGTTAATATGCACTGGGTATACATATGGAGCTATAGAGTATACTTACAATACTCGACATTTTCCTTCATGAGATATGACGAACATACCGATCCTATATTCTGACATTCAGATACACATGTTCAATACATGGATTATATGGGTGAATCATTTGAACATATAAGTAGCAAGAATTCCACATGTGAAATGTCTGACAATTACATGCATGTGATTTTATGTGTGATTGATATCATATTTCAAATATCTACCTCGTGTATATTTCTGGACATTGTTAGCAACATGCAGAAACTTCTAGTTGTATTACTAATAGGTTTAGGATCTTTGGAGCTGTACTTTGTTTCTCAGATGATTCTGAACCACAGCCGTCACAAGGTGGTCTGATGTAAGGCGATGTGTATTACTGAGAGGGAAAAAGGAAGGGCCTTCATGTCGTAACTCAGGAAATAAGGTGCTTTTGTCTGTTACTTCAGAAACCAGCATCCACCAGTTATGTTCCTGCAGATGTTTCAGATACTCTGTTAAATGTATTTTAGATGTGAGTGACTGGATATGTGAACCAGTATAAACATGACATTTTAGTAAAAGTGTCAGAGGCTCAGAGAGAGACACTGGCCACAAACCAACATTTTCTCAGTTGACCGCGAGCCAACAGGCTAGAAACCCCGGTGTCATCTGCGACTCAGAATTCAATTTTAAGGTTCATGTCACCAAATCAGATTTTTATCATTTCAAAAATATGAATCTGTTTCTGTCTCTGAGTTACAGACAGAGACTGATGCACACTTTCATAACCAGCAGACTGGACCACTGTAACACTCTACCTGGTCGACCCATAAAGGAAATAAATCAGTTACAACTGATCCAGCACTCTGCTGCCTGAGTGCTGGATCAGGACCAAAGGGAGAAAACAGCAGTTTTAAAGTCCTTACATTGGCTCCCTCCTTGTTTCTGTACCAGATTTAAAAGTCTTTCATATTTATTCTACACGCTTCATGGTTTTGCGGCAGCTTACTTAAAATGCTACTTGTCATTATCTGTTTGACCTTTATTTTAATCAGTTTTATTTTTTGTTGATTGCATTTGATTTTTTTTTTTTTGATTTGTCACGTCCATTACAAAACAAGATATACAAATCAATGTCATTGATACATTTTCCTCATTATTCTCTGCTGTGAATACTTGTCCCCTCACAGAAGCCTTCACTTTCATTACAATCTTTATCTGATTTTTCATAAAGTAGATAACATGGCAAATACAAGGTTCATATAAACCTCAGTAAATATGACCTTGAAACGTTTAATACTGCTGCCACATGAGGAGAGCAGCGTGCAGACCCAGACTGCCGTGATTAGTTCTGCACCAGGCTGTTTGAACAGCACACTGTACTAAAAAGACATGTAGGAAATTTACTAAAAATAAAATGCAAATAAATAATTTCACCTATCTCATTTAAATGAACTAACCTTTCAATTCAGTTTTAAATTCATAGTCTGTTTGACCAGAACAGATTTGTCACAAAAAAAGCAAACATGACATTCTAACAGCTTCCTGTGTCTTATGAGTCATTACTAACATCAGCTGTTGTCGCCCTCACTTAAACAGGTTCACTATAAAAAGTGTTTAATCAAAAAAGAAATAAAACACAGGCTTGTGTTTCCAGCACACCTGTGACATTATAGCAGACAGCGTGGCCAACACTGTCAAGAAAAAGTAATGGTGCTGTTTGCAATTTCCCGGTTTTCTGCATAAATTGGTTGATGTTTGTGACTTTGGTGAAAATCAGACCACATTTCATGACCAATGTATGCAGAAAACCAGGACAGTGCAAACAGTGCCATGACTCTGTGTGAACCTAAAATAAAACATCCAAAGGTTCAATGCAGAGCAGGTCCATGAATGAAATCACAGACATGTCTTTAAAATCTACTGAAGGACGACAGTTTTTCATCAGCACAAGAGGCGCAGAGATAAATTATAGTTTGTTTGAGTGTTTCCAGTCTGTGCCAGATAAAACATTACAACTACTGTTTCTGTAGGAAAGCTCTCTTATGTAGACCTCAAATCTGGTTTCAAAAACTAAGGCAGTGTGAAATAAAAGCATTAAATATTTATAAATACCAACCTTGACAGCCACAAAAGGCTTTAGCTCAGACTCCAGGTGCTTTCTGTCAGCTGTCCTGCCTCAAACCTCAGACTCCTCTGGGCTTTGGTCTGCACACATGGATGATTATCTGACCTGTGCAACACACATGTCAGTGGGGAGGTTCTCTAAAGGCATTTCTCCACAATACAAATGTTTTCTTCATCATAACCAAAGACCATAATCACTCAGGACCGTCTTGTGATTTCAGACATTTCCCCTTTTATGAATGCATGTCCTGCTAATGGACCTGATCATAACACTAGAGTGAGCGCTAATGTCCACCCTCAGTCAAGGTGCACTTTTGATACGGGCTTAGTCAGAGGTCTGAGCTTTCATGTCCGGCCTCCCTCAGTGAAGCCAGTGCTTTGATTTAAGCTTCCCGGCAGGTAGGAGGCCGACTGAGGCGGCTTCAGAACGTCAGTCACGCCCTCCAGGCTTCCTGGGAAACACAGTATTGATCATTATGGAAATCTTCTGTGCAAGCACATGCAGACGTGAGCTGTATTCATTTCTCTACATCAAACTGATTGGAGCAGGTCAAAGAAGGAAGTGGCTTTGTTCTGTTTCTAATGAGCCCTGGGAGGTTTCTGACTGGGAGCCAGTCATTCAGCCCCTCGGAATGAACCGGGTAAAACACTTATTGATTTTTATTCTTTTTCAAACTGCCTACGCTCAATAGACGTGAAAGGGCACTGAATCTGCCAGGAGGTTGTGTGTTTACTGTGTATGTCTTACAGTCTACTGAACTGAATCGCCTCTACATCCAACCACTGGTAAATGATGATGGTTTAAATGCACTATGACAGAGTCTTCATGGAGTTTGTCTTAAGTATTTTGTCATGATAGATTATCTGTAAAATCTAATCGAATAAAACTAATGATAGCTGCTGTAAAAGAAGCACACAAAAACATTTTTCACCCAAAGTCAGAAACTGACTGTGTGGTAGAGGTGCTGACTTTTTAGTTTTAAACTGAACCATGTAGAAAGTGCAAACCTCTTGGAACCTTTGAAATTATGCAACTGGCTTTTAGCCGCTTGGTGTCAGCAGAAACAAAACTGTGAATGTGGACACTCACATAACCTCAGGAATCATATAGTGAACCTATTACCACTCTGGATTAGCAACGTTTCTCTTTAAGTGCTAAACATGTAAATTCGTGTTTACTTGGACATGAGTGTCCCATTTATGATCAGGTTTTTTAAGTATCCCTTTTTTTGTTTGTTTGAGCAAGTAAACATCATATCCCAGTTTCAGAAACCAGGATAACCTCTTATCCCAGCTTTGAGAAACCTGAATATGCTAGGAGCAGTACTCTATGACAAACTAGGACAGCTCTTATCCAGGTTTCTGAATGCTCCAGATCATCAATGCAGGCGCGGCCGCAGCACACGGGGGACTTGGGATCAACACAAACAATGTCAGCAGTAAAGCCATCTCATGGTTGGAGTAATGATGAGACAGAATTTTCACTTCCAGTAAATGTGCTCGGTATTCAGACGGAGAAATCATGGAAATGCTGACCTCTTCAGTTAAGTTGTGGACAAGTCATGGGACGCAGGTTTCCCAACACATCCAGTGGAACAAGTCAGATCACAATGGAAAACCCTGAAGAAAATGACTATGTGCTACACTGTTTAGACAACATGGGCGGGCGTGAGCACGAGCTGAAGGTCAGCCTTTCAGCCTCACAACACAATGACAACATTGCTGTCCTAATACTCTGTGGCATCACAGGAGACAAGGAAAGAAAATCTGGATACTTCATCACACACTAACTCTCTGCTGTTTGACAATGAAAGAAGATGGCTTGTGTTTTAATCTGCACTCATATCCTTGTTGGTGACATTGCACATAAGGAGAGATGGAAAATACTCTAACGACTAAGCACAAGGTCAGTTTCCATGGCCTTCAATATGTCGTGTTCTTACTTTTTTATACAGTTTGATGAGCATCCATGCCGCTTAGATGAACAGTCGCAGGCTCCGATTATTTTCTCATCAGCATAAGGCTCCAGTCTGCAATTCTAACAAGACTTTTTCAAAGACACTTTTACTCAAATTGCAGTGAGAAAGGAAGCAGCCACCTCCACCGCTGTCATCCTGTTGTTGTGAGGAGAGGAGGGGTTCGGCCTT